GGTGCAATTGAGTACACTTTCTAAGAGGTGTGTATTTTATGGCCAACAACATGATTCCTTAAGAGAGGAAAAAAGAAATTGCTTCTTATCTTTCCATACAAATTTTCTTTTCTCTTTTGATGCCCTCCATGAACTTAACTTACCCAACTTCTTCAACCTTCAATTTCTCTTTTTTCTCACAATCATTTTATTGTCCACAAGATGTGACACCTATAACTTCACCTCCAACATATCTCGTCCTCATTCATGATCTTATTTCTTGTATCACATAAGATATTCTTATAATTTTAATATGAAATTTTTTAAAGAATTTTATAATTTTAATATGAAACTTTTTAAAGAATTGAAAGTCTCTAATTTAAAAAAATATATATTTAATTGATTAAAAATTTAAAATTTTAAGTTGACGAAACTTCAGATTGAGTAAAAAAAAATTTGGATAAAATGAGACTATATTTTTTTATTTAGTTCATCATTAAATATACCAAAAAAAAAAATTAAAGTCCTTTAATTTTATAATTTGAACTTAAAACTTCTAATTTAAAATGCCAAGATTCTTATAAACTAAAATACTCCTCACATGTAAGATACACTTACTTTTGGTGTGGTGCATTTCATGTTCTAAATGTGTATGGGATGGATGTCTAGCGGCTACTTCTGAGTTCACATGATCTCATGACACATTCATTGGCTTTTCTTTCTCCTTGCACCTCACCAACTCAGCATAATTTTTTGAATCGCATGATTAGTTTTCACAGCGCCATCCTTAGTTATTATTGTTCTTGATTTCTAATCATTTTCCTTCCCCCAAACCTTTTTCCCCTATCCTCACAAGAATTAACTGAGAAAATTCCTCCAAATTTACTCCTCATGAAGAACAAAATACAAAACAAGGTTAAAGAAGAAATGATTATGAGATCAACAATGCTAAACCATCACCAAGCATATTTTGGCATTCTAGGCTAAAAGATCAATTTGTCGGAAGTAATTCAGGTCACCGCCAGTTCCATTAACAAGCTTAATAATGATTTATTCATTTTCAGTTCATAACGGAGTTGATACACAAAAAAATGTAAATGTGTTTTTGCAATAGTCATGTAAAATCAAATAAAAGAATACATGTCAATTAAGTTGTAGGCTCTAGAGAATAAAAAAAAAAAAGGTAAATCATAATTGTTGTTACATAAGATTGTAAAACTTTATTATAAGAGAAGAATGTGAGTGAATTGTTTTTGTTTTCCTAATTTCTTTTCTAAGACACAATAAATTACCTTTAATTAATGATAATAATGGTCTATGAACAACTTGCAAATTAACAAAACTTGACAGTCAAAGAGAAGTTTGTTTAATTTTATAAGTATTATTAACCATCATCATGCAATTTTTTACCTGTTTTCTCTTCTTGTTTTAATTTTAATTAGATGGAATTTATCTTAAATTCTTCATGAATGATGAACCAAAATCTACCAAAGGCTTCTTTTGATGACCAAAGACCAGAGTCAACTTGGATTATGCATGAATAAGCTTGAGTTAGTGATGTAGATGACAAGTCATTTTCTCATATAAATAAATGTATTAAAGGGAAATGAGTAAGATCATGAGTGCAAAGAGACAAAATACAATGACTGCATTTTTCTCCACCTTCTCCCCTTTTTTTTTCCTAATAAAATTGATTTTTTTATCATTTTTGAATAAGCCCATTACCATTCCTTTGTTCATCTATGAGGTAAGTATTATGTAATACTACGAAACCCTAAAAATCTCCATACGAGAATGGCTTTTTATCTTGACTATCGTTCTTAGGGACAACCAAACAACTTGAACACCAAACATTTGCACTTATGATTTATGTTTTGGTTTTAAAAAATTAGAAGAGTAAACAAGAAAACTTAATTATTTGGTGAGTATAAAATTTGAAATTCTATAGCGAAATATATTTTTAAAAACTAAAACTAAAGAAAAAAGCTTGAAGCTACACTTAGTATTTTTTGTTGTTGCTATGATTTTTTATTTTAGTTTTTAAAATTTGAACAACAAGAAATGATAATTAAAAGTTAAAATCTAAAACTAACTCGTTTAGTAACAATGTTGTATTTAGTTTTTATTTTTGGTTATTTTATTTTACTTGTTGAATACAAATTTTCAAAATTGATTGCCAATACTGAAAATCTATTTACTTTATTACAGTTATTTATTTTAATTCAGTGTTGCTAAATTTTCAACAGCCGAAACAAAAGCCAAGAAGAACAATGATACTAAATGAAGCCAAAAGCTACTTTTTGGGTTGAATTTTAATGTTAGTCCTTGAACTTTAAACTTTACACCTTTTGTCTCTAAACTAAAATGAAGTACTTTTTTTGTCCCTTAACTCTTATAGATTGTTTGGTTTGAGGGAAAGAAAGGAGAGGAGAAGAGATTTCCCTATTTGGATAACAAAAAATTAGAGAGAAGAGGAGGGGAGAGGTAAGGGTTTCCCTTAGTTTGCTTTAATTTTCCTTATATTATAGTTTAACCAAATGTGGGGAGGGAAAGGAGTTTCCCTTGTTTTCATTTATATATTCTTCTATTTTCTTCCCCTCTTCTCTATTTCCCTCAAACCAAACAAGGGATGAGATGTGCGCAAAAAGTGTTGTTCCCTAAACTAGTTTCATTCACCTAATATAGATTTTTATGATTAGAACAAGGACCAAATTAGTGTAAGGACCAAAAACTATAAAATTTAAAGTTTAGGAACCAAAATTAGTAGTTAACCCTTTTTTTTTTATTTGGTTTTGGTAATTGGATTAGCTTTTCTCATTTATAATTCAAATTAACTTTGAAATGAGTAAGAAAAGATATTAGAAATGAATGGATTATCTTCTATTATATAACTTACCACAAAATATTGACAAACTATTCAAAATTCTTTTTATTAAGTCAAAATTGTCTTAGTTCATGACTTAAATACTACATTATATAGGTTTCATCTTTTCAACTTGTCTTCTTTCTTTCATTCAAACTCAAATATTTTCTTTCTCCCCAGTGGCAAGAAGTTGGGAAACCACATACCATCCCATGTAGATTTGTAGCTTGGCTTTTTACTAACATGTAATCTAGGAGGATGACTATAGTCTCCAAAGTCCTAAGTGCTAGTTTGATCTTTGGTCAATATAGATGGGCGTGAAATGAAAATGGAGGACCTTTATTAACTCTTTTCCCCACACGAAAGTAGCCATTATCCAAATTTAATCTTACTCCTTAAGATTTTAGTGATGGTTTTGCCTTTATTTACTCTTTTGGAAAGCAACGCCTTTTAACTTGCCCAAGAGTCAATCCAACATCTCTACGGTTTATGGTGTGTTTCAATGGCATCCATTTAATTAACTCAGTTAATTATGACTCGTGGTGGCCCAGCAAATCTATTGATGAGGAATCTAATGATGATTAGCATTTGTGATTAAGATCTCTTTCGGTATTTACTAAACTTACTTTATGTAGGCTTCATGATTAGTCTGATTGAACTAGATTTTACAAGCAAAGTCACTTAGTAATTAACGAGAATGTGATCATTCATAACATGTAATGGTGATCCTATGTTAGTTGACTCTATAATGAATCAATTTTATTGATTCAATATATCATGTCACGTCAATATAACAGTTATATTATAAATTTTTTATATTAACAAAATAAAGTTTATTGTAAGTAATCTCAAATTACGTAATTTGTTAGTGTAATGAAATTAGTTAGTAGTTGTCCTTCGATCTGTCATGGTTGAAGATAAATAATCTCTGTTTTGAGTTAAATTTAAATTCTAAGGTTTTTACAATGATTAAAAGATAAAAGGACGTGATTTAAAACTTTGAGGGGAGGTCAAGTTTTTGATCCAATTAAATTATGGGGACTTGTATAAGATAATGTCAAGGATGATGTAAGGGCTTATAAAATAATTAGTTTAAGTACGTGTTGAGGATGTAATAGGTATATTATTTTATTATTAATAAAAATTTTAAAAATTAATTTTTATTTTAACATTATTATCACGTAAATAATTAATTGAATTAAAATCAAAGTTTATATTTTTTATATAACTTAATCAAGTTTAAGATATTGAACCAATCATCTCCAAGTTTAGTTTTAAAGATTAAAATAGCTGTATTAGACTTGAAATTAAACTATTCTTTGGTGGATTGATTTTTTTTTTTTTCCTTATTCCTAACCCATTTTAGTTAATAGATTGAAAAATATAAATTTAATTTATGACACACAAAAAGATGGTTGTTTGTTAGATGGAGTGCACAAGCTTGTGCCTAAGTGAGACATGCTCAACTAAGGAGTGGCATGGCGATTTTTGCAATTCAAATTAGTGAGATGTGCTTATCCAGCCCGTGGTGAGCTGGTTGTCCTTGTACCCCAAGGGGAGGGGCACACATTG